TTAATAATATANAGAGAGAGAGAGAGAGAGAGAGAGGGAGAGAGGGAGAAAGAAAAAAAATTAATAAATAGATCATTCAGCACATATCGTAGACTACATCATTACATATCCTTATCAATGGTTGTTGCTTATCAGTGGTGATACTACGCCTATCAAAAATTCACGAATGAAGATTTTATCAGTAAAATTATCACCTCTTATCGATAATATGGGCAACTCTTTGCTTACCATTCATTAATTGAGGAAAAGTTTCAGCCATAAATTTGGTGTAACACACAATTTTGCATTTCAGACTTTGAAAAATTCTTAAAATTTTACCCTAATTATTAAAATTTCTCGATTTAATAATGAATAAAAGCAAATAGTAAATGAAAAAAGTATTGACCCACTAACATATCCTCGGTAGTATAGTGGTGAGTATCCGCGCCTGTCACGTGCGAGACCCGGGTTCGATTCCCGGCCGGGGAGGATGCCTTTTTTCTTTCACCACTTTTAATAGTGTGATTAGTTATATTAATCTAGCATTTTAGCAGATATTGAGGAATTTAGTAATTAAATAATAATTTATTAAAATAGAATAATAACGAGGTGGAAGAAGTGAAATATGAAAGTATGTTGAATTTTACGAAAGTAAGCACAAAAAAAACCGATCAATATCACAAAATTAGTTAAAAATGAATAATTTATTGATTAATGAAATAAATTTAAACAATGATATTAGCATTAGATATAAAATAGTTTAAGTTATCGAATTTATTTCTGCACAATGAAGAGAAGGAGGTAAAAGAAGATGGAGCAGTTGCCGCATATTTAAAGTTTAACCTCAGCTTTAACAGCAATTAGTTAAATGATTGTGACCATAAGTAAGGAAGGATAAATTTGATTGCTACATCAATTGCTCTATTAACAATCAATAATCAAATAATGATAGACATCAATTTATTATCACATCAGAGGTGACACTTTTTTTTTCTCACTGATAAAACAAAAAACTAAATAGAAAGTTATTTGTAACTAATAAAAGTTAATTTCTTTTATGCAAATAAACATCATTTTTATGGTGTAATATTTGTAAATTATTAATGAAATTTCAATATAAAAAGCGATAAATTTGCTAAAAATTTTTAAAATGCTATATTTTAATGAAAGGAAGTTATACTGTCCCATTGTTATTATATGATATTTCTATTTATCAGATATTTTTCATATCAAACTGATAACACTGATAACGTACTCATTTGAGTGTGTAACGCAAATGTGATAATTTGAATAAGCAAAAAAAAAAAAATTTCAAACTTACGCATAATTGTTGCTTGATTAAATGATTCGTTTAGATCCTTTTCATTAACCGAAATAATTATTTATAACAAAAGCCCCAAAAGCCGAAAAAAAACGTCACAAATGACGTGAACGTATATCGTGATAGGATGACGTGATATTGAAAGTATCGTGATGATATTACGTGAAGGTATTTTGATGGAATGATTCAATTATTGATGATATTATTTCCTGCAAAACAAAAAAAAAAAAAAAAACGAGGAATGCATCATTATGAACGAATCAATGGCAATTTACGATATATTGCATAATTTGCGACAAACACTAAGCAATTTTAATTTATCATCAATTCGACATTGATAAGATAAAAATAAACATGATATCTTCCCGTAGGGTGATATGTAAGAAATTAAATTAACATTGTTGAAGCTAGATATGGGAAGTTGTTGTTGTCAACTGGATGCAGTTGTTATCAGTCATTTGAATGCACCATGAATTTACAAATGTCCCAACAAATACTATGAAATAAAGCAGATGATACTTATATTAAAGAATGAAAATAATTTTAACAAATTTTTCTATTTCATAAATTTAGCAAAAAGCATAAAGTACCAATGAAGAAGAAATAGAAGAATTCGAATAGAGATAGATACTGTATGCTTTTCTCCTAAATTTCAACGAAACAAAAAATTTTGACAATCGTAGAAATTAGAAATGTGCGCAGAAAAATCAAAGATCAAGAATAGATATGTAGAAGATCTGCGAGCATTTTCAATACCTTTTTCCATTGTTGATGTCTAAATTATGCAAAGGATTGTCAGTAAATCAATTTAAAAAAAAAAAGGAAAAAAAAAAAAGAAAAGGAAGAAAAATAGTTTTAACGTTTTTTT